TTCTGACTGTTGCAGACTCGTCAGACGAGTGTAAAGCCACCTGCGCTTCATCTTTGAAATTGCTGCAAACTTTTGAAACGAATGCGCGCAGCGCTAAGGCGAGAGTCCCCTTATGAAAACCACCTGCGCTCCATCCTTGTAGCTGTTGCACAACGTTGAAACGAATATGCACACTGAGGAGACAGCCCAATTTCGAAAAACACCTGTGCCTACCACCCGCGAAACCAACCAAGGCCGCTGAGAAGACCACGGCGCGAGTGTGGTCCGTGGCCAGGAGAGGCCGCGGGATAGTGCCAGGCGAATGCGACGCTGCATTTCGCACAAGACTTGTTGGCTGGGACAGCGAGGCTGAGGCGGGAGGAAAAGGAGGAGCAGGAGGAGAACAACGAGGGGGGCAGGGAAGGATGATCGAGGCCCCATCCGGCCGCAGTGTCGCCATCTGTGCTCCATCCTTGTCACTGTTGCGAACGATGCTCAGGATCATAACTGGTCAGAAGTCTCAGGCGAACGCCGGGCCCGCCCTACCAACACGTCTGGGGCGCGACAGGGAGAAGCTCTCTATCAGGAGAAGGGATGGAGGAGGAGGAGGAGAAGGAGGAGGAGGAGGAGGAGGGGGAGGAAGGCACGACCTCTTGACGCGGGGGGGGGGCAGACCAGCGGACGCGCCAGCTTGCCATGCCGTGCCTGGGCCAGCACTCGGCCGTCGGGGCTCGCGCGCCGCCGCGCCAGCAGCAGAGGCAGCGGCGGCAGCGGCCGCGCGAGGCAAGGTGATGGACACGGGGGGTGGGCTGCCCGGGGAGGCAGCAAGCCAATGCGCAGCACGCCGGCGACACCCACAGGCTTGGGCCCGACGCGGCGCGCCGCCAGGCGCCGGGCCCGGCAGGCGCGCGAGGCCGCCCTGCGCGCGGCCCGAAGCGACGCGAGGGCTCCTCCACGCCGACGCCGCAGCCTGGAGGCTGCTACCTTCGAGCAAGCGGCGGCGGAGGACGGCTCGAAGCAGTGGCTCGACACCCCTCGAGCCGCACGCGGCGTGCGTGGCAAACACGGGTGGCGCCAGCGTCGCGCCCGAGCAGCAGTCCAGGCCTTGCGCGGTTGACCAGCAGCTGCGGCGGCGTGCCCTGTTCGGGCGCCAGCGCTGGCAGCTGAGGCGGCGCACCCTGCTGCCGTTCTGCATCGGCCGTGTGGCACGGCTACTCGGCGCACGCGCTGTCGTCACGCGAACTCTGAACACTTTTTGTCGCAGACTCGGCGATCGCACGAATTGGTCGGGCAAAGCAGGGCTACTGCGAAGCCTAGTCGCGCACAGAGAGGCGAGGACGAGCTCTGAACACACGCTGCATCCAGATCGCATGATATAGAATGATCGACGACGCATCCCTCAAGCATCGAAGGCGGCGCACCAGACGTCACAAGCTGAAGGCGTGGACCAGCGTGTGCGGGAAGAGCTGGCCGTGGTAGCAATGGCCACCGATGGGGTGAGATGCGGGCGAAAGACGCCGTCGGCTAGATGCGGGGACCAGCGTGTGCGAGAAGAGTCGGCCGCGGTAACAATGGCCGCCGACGGGGAAACATGTGGGCATAAGACGCCATCGGCCACATTTGGGGACCAGCGTGGGCGAGAAGAGCTGGAAGTGGCAGAAGACGGTGGTGCGAGAGACAGGAACCAGGACGTCGTTAGCTGCATGCGGGGCATGTTGCGCGCGAGATAAGAGCTGGCAGCGTCAACGGACAGTGGCGCGAGAGACAGGAACCAAAGGACGTCAGACACAAGCCTGGACCAGCGTGTGAGAGAGGAGTCGGCAGCAGGATTGAAAATAGCGCGAGAGCTAGATACCAGACGGCATCAGCTCAAGGCTTAGACCAGCGCGCGCGAGAAGAGCGGACAGTGACACAGGCGGTCGCAGACCACGATGCCGCGATGCTGGTTGGGCGATTGCACGTGGGAACCAGCGTGTGCGAGAAGAATCGGCAATGGCAGCGGACGGTGGTGATACAAATGGATCCCAGACGTCATCAGCTACAAGCTGGGGCCAACATGTGCACGAAGAGGCGGCAGTGGCAGAAGTCGGTGGTACTAGCGGTGGGCCCCAGGTGTCCTCAGCTACAAGATGGCAGCAGCGCGTGCGAGAAGAGGCCACAGTGGTACCGGACGGTGGTGCTGAAAGCGGATCCCAAACAAAATCAGATACAAGCTTGGACCAGCGCGTGCGAAAAGAGATCACGGTGGCAGAGGACGGCGGTGCTGAAAATGGAGCCCACACGTGATAAGCAACAAGCTTGGGCCAGCGAGTGCAAGTAGAGGTGACGTCAGCTGCAAGCTGGGGCCAGCGCGTGTGAGAAGAGGCGGGCGTGGCAGCAGGCGGCGCTGCAAGGCCTCCACCCTACCAGCAGTTACAAGTTGCCAGCCCGTGCGAGAAGGGCGAAAAACTCATCCGAGACGCCATCAGCTGCGAGCTGGAACCAGCGCGTGCGAGAAGAGGCGGCGGTGGCAGCAGTAGGTAGTAGTACGAGTGCTGGCCGCCAGACACTATCACCAGGGTTTGGGAGAAAAGTCAACAGTCGCAATAGTAAGCTGGTGCGAGTCCTGGACGCCAGACATCATCAGCTACATTTTGCGACCAGCGTGTGCGAGAAAGGTCGACTGTGGCAGCAGCAAAAGGATTCAGAGCTGGATACCAGGCGTCAGGAGCTAAAGGCTTGAACCAGCGCGTGAGAGCAGAACCGTCTGTCGCTAATAATAAGGGCGCGATAAATTGAAGCCAGACGTCAACAGCTATATGCTTAGACCAGCGTGTGCGAGAAGAGCCGACAGTGGTGCCCGTCGGCGTTGGTGCGAAAGCTGACCGCCTGACGTCATCAACTACTGGCTGCTACCAGGGCGTGAAAAGAGCCAACAGTCGCACCAGGAGCTGGCGCGGGCGCTGGAGCACCAGACGCCATCAGCTACGCGTCGGGGCCAGCGTGCGGGAGAAGAACTGGCAGTTGCAGCAGTCGAGTCCAAAAAGGACCACGGCGACTTTGTTCCCAGACTCAGCGCGGGTGTACGGTAATGATGTAACGATGCTAGTACGGCAATCTGTGGGGCCTCTGAGGCGAATCGCTGCGGAGATGGGGAAGAAATGCTGCAATCCCGCACATCCCGCCTGTGCCAAACTGTGTGTGCAACTGAGTTCCAACCGATCTTCACATGAGCGACGATCAGAAACGGTTCTTACGCGAGATGACACAGCGACCTTCAGATTCGGCTTACGCGGGCCACCAGCGCGGCACGCTGCATTAGAAACGAGGGCGCCCACGCGTGCCCTTAAGCGGGCAACTTACGAGAGAAGGTCGGCGCAATCGACCCGGTTTCGTGCTTCGCACGGACAGGCACCAGATGCTGCGCGCGGGCGCGCCCGTCTCTGCCCCTGGCTTGAGGGACAACGACAGGGGGGACTGGCATAGGGGAGGGAAACATCGACATGGAATCGGCGATACATCGCCGATGGATCGGCGATAGGCCCCCGATAGCGACTCCCCACGTTCCTGAGCGGGGTGGGGCCAGCGCACCCCGAGCGGCGATCAATGGGCGATTGGGGGCCGATGCATCCCACACTGTGCCTATCCCCCCCTGTCGTCGCCCTCCGGTTTTCGGGGTCTCCGGCGGCTGTTCGGGGCGATCTGGGCACCCCCGGAACCCTCTCGACGAGGCGCAGCTGCTGAAACGCATCCCCAGGCTGGAAAGTGGCCGAGAATCGACGAAAACGCCCGAGCACCTCGAACACACGACCGATCGTTGTCCCCGATGGCTGCCCGTCCCGTCACTGCCGCGACGCGAGCCCTGCCAGGCGCTCTGCGCAGGCTGCCGCGGCCGCCGCCGCGGCAGCCAGGCCCGATGCCGTGGGCTGCTGGCGCTCGGTCGGCGGCCGCTGAAACCACGCCCCCCGCCCGCACGCCGAGCAGGCCCTGCACGGGGCGCGGGGCGCCGCCGGCGTGACGGGGCTCTGCGAGGCGCGGGCTGCCGCGACGGTGGCGCGGGCTGCGGCGACAGCAGCGCGGGCCCATCGCGGCGCGCGCGGGCGCGGCTTCGAGGAGAGCGACCCCGAGAGCGACTGACACGGTTCAGCGCTGGCAGGCTTCCTCGGTAAGCCCGACAGCGAGGACGACGTTGAGGTTCTCGGGACCGCGCCAGAGAAATGAAGACCAACATTCCTTCGGCCAGGCCGCGTCGCCGACGTCGTGCCCGCCGAAGCAGGAGCTAGGTGTGGAGGACGCCCTCATCGCCGCAAGGCTCGACAAAATCTGCGAGGCGGCCGCCGGGTTGTTCGACGGCATCAGGACTCGGAGGCTCTGTACTCGAGAACGCCGTGGGATACTTCGTATGGCGAGTCAGCAGCAGCAGGATGGAAGGGCAGGAAGAGGGGCGGAGAGGAGGGGGAGGTGAGGAGGGTGGGGAAATACAACATCATAAGAAATCGCGATCCGAGCCGTCGATCCCATCCTTCTGTGGCATCTCTCGGGCCAGACCGATTCGTGAAGGTCTTGGGGCCCAACGGGGCGAAATCGTCCAGTGTGAAAAAATGCAACGCCCGGATCTCGGGGTCGCCCGCGGACTGCCTTTCCCCCAAGCCACAGGATTCTTAAAAAATTGACGCGGAACGAAGACCTGGGCCCGGGCAAACGGACTTCCGGGAACCCCGCACTGACAGAAATTGAAACATCGGATCTCTGGGGACCGTTTCGCCCGACGACCGCTTCGACTGCTTCCCTGAGACTCGACGTCGCGAGAGAAACAAAACAGCACCGGAGAAAGAAAACGAAAAACAAAAAAACATACCCGCAGACCCTATCTTTCTGCGGCACGTGCGGATCCCAGGGCCCCGAGACCAGGGAAAAACGCCCGGCGTGCTCCCAAAAAAGCCACGCCCGCACCCCGGGGTCCACCACACACTGCCGTGCCCCGGGACCGCCTTCGCCCGACGGCCGCTTCGACCTCTGCGCCCCGCCCGGCGGGGGCTGGCCTCCCGCCGTCCCGCCCAGGCCAGTACAGCACGTAGTCCAGCGTCTCGTCCTGCGGCGGCACACGGACCCCCGAGCTTCGACGCCTCGGCACGGAGGAAGAACACCGTTCGGTCGCGACGGCTTCGAAGAACAACGGGACCCTTCTCGTCGTCGTAGTCGCCGTCGTCATCGCCGACGTCGTCGTCCTCGCCGTGGTGGCCGTCGTGGTCGGGGCAGCCGAGGGACGCCTCGGGGCCAAATTACGCACAGCAGGAGCGGGAAAGGCGCGAATGGGGAGAGGAAGCCCGGGGGGCACGCTCAGAGCATGAAGCATTTTGTGCGCGTGTGCCAGAGCGCAGGGTTATACGGGCAGCAAACAAAAGTAGTGAGGCAGAGGAAAACAACGAAACAACACAAAACCGAAAACAGCAAAAGGGAACGACCGAAATGGATATGGAACGAATGGGTACGATGCCGAACAACAAGAATCGTCCAAAACCGACAGCGGCCGCTGTTGGGCAGGCGGCCTCCTGTCTCAAACGGACAACGTCCGCAGCGGCGCGGACAGCGAGTCCTGTTCAACATAAACAAGAGCTGTCGTTGCGCACCGTACCCATCATTTCCGTGCCAATTTCGTTCGTGCCGAAAGCGGCTACACGCAAGAGTGACCCTGGGCAAGAATGGCCTTTGGTGCGCGGACCAAGGGCGGCGCAAGGTGGCCAAATCTAAGCGCGCAAGCAGCCGCCACCGCATAGCGCTGCGGTATCGGAGGGACCCCGATGAGCCCGCACCAAAGGTCACTCCAGCGAAGAGTCACTCTTACGTGTAGCCGACGAGAAAAAACAAAAAAACAACAAAAAACAAACAAAAAAACAAACAAACAAACAAACAAACAAACAAACAAACAAACAAAAAACACGGCTGGTTCTCGCGACTCCCCGCGCCGGGGCGCGCCATCTTCGGGCCCCGCGGCCGCCAGGAGGCGGCCCTGCGGGGTGGAGGCCTAGCCGCGGGGGACTGGGCCCAGGCACTGGGGCCCTGCCCTGAAGCGCACAAATAGAAAAAAACACGCGCTGCTCTGCACCAGAGGAGGCAAGGAGCAACGACAACAGAGAAAACGAGCAGACAAGAAACGCATTCGTCCAGAATCTGGGAAGAGGGGGGGGCTTCTCCGAAGGCACTTCGCCTGACGGGGCTCCAGCCTCCTCCGAGGCCCTCTCGGAAACTTCTCCCGAGAGGGCCGGGCGCGGGAGCGCCGAGGGGGAGGAGCTTCTCCGAAGGCACCTCCCGCTCCGGGCGCTGAGGACGTCGATAACAGGGGGGCCCTTGCCGGTGGAATTTGCGATTTTGAAACCAGATCCCCTCGGCAGCTCAATGAACATGCCTCGCAGAATGCGTGGTCAATCTTGGTTGAATCCACTCCGAATGAACACCGAAAACAGTGGGGAGACCAAGTGCAAGACGGCCGTCCAGAGGACGTCTTGGACGGCCCTTGCGACGCGAACCACATCAGTGGTCGCGCGTGCAACATTCGGCTGGAGTCGTTCAAAGCCCGCGGCAGAAATGACCACCAAAATCCGGCACCGTGACCACTAAAATTCGGCACTGGACGTGCGTTTTCGACGTGATCACTAAATCGTGTCCACTATGTCTGGCTCCAAACAAGCACAACATCGAAGGGACACAATATAAGTTAAGGGACACGCATTGTCAGGCCCATGTTGCGACACAGTTTTAGGAACACAACTCAAGTCACACAATTCACAGGGCACACACACACACACACACAATTCAGGGACTCGAGTTGAGGGACTCAATTTCAGGGATGCAGCGCGGCTCCTGCGTCAGGCGAGAACAGTTCTCCGAGGGGAGAGGCGGTCTCGCAGGGAACCAGAGATACCCCTAGCAGTAGGGGAGCATGCGTACGGCCCACGCGGGGACCTAGGAAAGCTGGGACACCTGGAAAAGAGCTTTAAGGGAACCTCGACGATCCCCGAGGTGGCACCTAGCCTCTCGGAGGCCTCCAGCCTTCTCCGTGGCCTCCCGAAGCCTCTCCCCAGAGAGGGCTGGGACGGGCGCGGGAGCGCCAGGGGGGGGGGGGGGCTTCTGCGAAGGCACATCGCCTCTCGGAGGCCCTCCGGCCTTCTCCGAGGCCCTCGTCGGGACCCTATCTCCCGAGAGGGGGCGGCGCCCTTCCCCCAGAGGCCGCCGTGCTCCACTCGGGAGGCCGGCCTCCGTCATGGACGGGAAGAAAGCGGGGACGTCCATTCCCCGTGCATTTGTCGGTTTCGCGCGCTTATTTTTCGCAAGATGATCCAGGATGCTCCTCCCGAGCGATCCGAGTGACTAGAGAACAGGGCAGGGTCGTCGTCGACGTCGTCGTCGTCGCATCGTCGTCGTCGTAATCGTCGTCGTCGTCGTCGTCGCATCGTCGTCGTCGTCGTCGTCGTCGTCGTCGTCGTCGTCGTCGTCGCATCGTCGTCGTCGTCGTCGTCGTCGTCGTCGTCGTCGTCGTCGTCGTCGTCGTCGTCGTCGAAATCGGGGTGGTGTTCCCTTCCTTAGGTGACCACGACTGAACGTGGAGGCGTCGCGTCGACCTCAGTCGCCCCAGGAGGGGCAGGAGACGACGGGGAGGGGAGGGATGGTCAAATCAAGGCGTGCGCCCTCGTAGAGACTGCGATGCTCGTGCGGCTTCGGCTTGAGGCGCCTGCCATCGTTCGGAGGTCCATTCCACGTGCATTTGTCGGTTTCGTGCGTGTCCGCATTCTCGCAAAATTACCCAAGATGCTCCTCTATGGTCCCCACCGCGAAATAATGCACACGTCCGAGCGATGCCAAGGCGGCAATCTAGTTCCCCACACCTTCCCGACTACCCCTTCCCCGCCGCAGCTGCAGGGAAAGGAAACGAGGACCACGACCACGACTGAGCGCAAAGGCGTCGCATCGACCTCGGTCGCCCTAAGAGGGGCAGGAGACGACGGGGATAAGGGGTGGTCGAGTCTGGGCGCGCACCCTCGGAGAGACTGCGATGATTGTGCGGCTTTGGCGTGAGGCAGTGTACAGTCAACCCGTAGAATAAGGGCGCACGAGAAGGATGCAAGGGCCTCGGAAGGCCATGTCATTACTTCGCGAACGGGGTGCGGCCAACGAAAGCGGCAAAAGACGGGCCGAAGGGGCAAGGAAAGTGGCTCTTACTCACTATGCGGGAAGACTGTAGTTCCCCACCTTCCCGACTCCCCAGTCCCCGCCTCAGCTGCAGAAAAGAGAAGGAGAACCACGACCAAGACTGAACGCGGAGATGTTGTGCCGATCTTGGTCACCGTCCGTCCTGGTCAGCGTCAATCTGCGGATCATCCTCGCAAATCGGCGACGGCCAGCATGGACCTGGCAACAGGCCGCCCTTTCAGGGCTGCTCAGGGGGGGGCATAAAGCTGCTCGTCTGGGAGGATTGTGACCCCTTCCCATTTATTACGAAGTTCGGAGTACGTTTCCCGTGGACCCATGAGGAAGAGGAAACGGGGACCACAGCTTTCATGGCAAAGGACCAAGCACTGTGCAGTTCATCATTCCGCAGGGGCTGGCCCTCTCCTTACACACGCTGCTCACCGCGGGAGGGGTCGAGAGAGCTGGGGCTCCACGTGGGAGCGCGATCCACGTGAGGAGTGGGCGCGGCGCTGCCCTGCGGGCGCCCTCAGTGTCGCCGTGGGTGGAGCTTCACATGGGGCCCCGATCTGCGCGAGGGGAAAGCCGACGGGCGTGGCGCCGCGCAGACGCCCGCACTAGCGCCGCAGGCGGAGAGTGGGGCACGAAACTCGCGCGAGGAGGGGGGGCGAAATGGGCGAGGGGAGCGCAGCCGCAGGAGGGTCGAGGAGACTCAAGGTTCGAGCTTGCAGGACTCGAGATCCAGTCTAATACTTGACAGGAACTCCCGCTGCAAACAGCCCACAAATCCGCCGACCTGTCGGACGTAGAGGACACATCGTCGTCCTCCTCCTCCTCCTCCTCCTCCTCCTCCTCCTCCTCCTCCTCCTCCTCTTCGTCGCCGTCGCCGTCGCCGTCGCCACTCCCCGTCTTTGCCCTGAGTCTTTCTCCTCCAACGTTCTAGCCGAAACGACAATGACGGACGTTGAAATGAAATCGAAGGGAAGCCCCTTCCCTTTGATCCCTTCCCCGCCCCGGGGCGTCCCCGGCTGGGTCCCAGGGGGTCCCGGAGGAGGTCCCGGGGGAGGGTCCCGGGGGGCGGAGTCCCTGGGGAGGTTCCCGGGTCAGAATGTACCACCCCTCTGGGGAGGGCCCTGGGCGTCGTCGTCGTCGTCGTCATTCAGGGTCGGCGACACCAGCCGTAAGGCCTCTCCCATCCAGGATCGTCGAAATTCAGGACGAGCCCGACAAAAACTCGACAAACCCGAGTTCCGGCGAACTCGAGTCTCACGTTTTCCCTAGGCGAGGAGGGGGAGGAGGAGAAAAAGTAAGACGGCGAGAGGAGCGCGTAGAATTGACAAAAACACCAAACTGTGGAAATTCGCGCGGATCTCCCGGGACGGCGTTGGACTCCAGCTGGGGTCGGCGCCGGAGCCGACCCCAGCACGCGACCTGGCGCGGGGGTCCGCGCGGACCTCTGGAAGCGATTGCTCGTGGATTTTGCTGCTGTCCGACGCTGAGGGCCAACGATTCAGGGGACGTTCGAGGTTCGAGTTTCGAGGTTTCTGACGTTTTCGTCGCTCGTCTGTCGTTGCCTCGGGATGCTCTCCAGCAGCTGCGCCCGCGGGTGTCCCGGATCGCCCCGAAGGCCCGCCGGAGGCCCGAGACATGACCCGAAAACCACAAGGAGACCCGCTGCTCAGGGGGGGGAGGATCGAACTGGAATCGGCGATACCTCGCCGGTAGATGGGCCATGGGGTCCCGATAGCAGAACCGCACAGATTTGGGCGGGGTGGGCTATCGGGCCCCTACTGGCGACGAATGGGCGATTGGTGGTCGATGCATTCCACCCTGAGCCCATCCCCCCAAACGTTGCCCCTGAGAGTCCCGCCCGTTAGCCAGGACTCGTCCTGGCAGGTCGGGGGCTCCTCCCCCAGCGCCTCCATGTGCGCGCTGCGGAGCGCGAGCTCCCACTGGGCATTCAGCAGGTCCCCCAGCAGCAGCGACAGCGGGCGCCCGTCCGCCTGGAGGGCCATGCACTGCAGGACCACAGAGGAGTGCGAGAGGCGGCCGGTGACAAGCAGCTCGTACACCGGGCTCCGCACCAGCACCAGCGGCCCTGGTGCCGCTCCAGAGCCGCCGCTGCGCCCACCAGGCGGCATCTCTCCGTGCTTGATCTTGTACTGCAGCGCCTGCACCATGGAGTGCGGGTAGTGCGGCGGCGCGTTGAAGTCCGCCGACGCCCTTGGGCAACTGGGCGTGTGAGGCTCCTCCATATCTGCCCCCCGCGGGCGCTCTGCCCTGATCTTTTGCCCTGGCCCTCGACATGGACCCGATGCGTTGCTCCGCGCCCCTCAGAGCGACTCGCTAACCGGCCCGCGCGCCAGCTGGGCCTGCGGAGAAAGACTGTGCGACTCTTCCACGCGGTCTCGGGAATCTACTGACCCGGGTCAGCCCAGACCCGGGTCAGCCAGGCCTGACCCACGCTTGCATTGACCCCCCGTCTCTTGAGCCCCGGCCCGCCCTTCTGGGCCCGAAAGGCCCCCTTCTGGGCTCCTGAAGGGCCCCGTTTCGGCAGCCCTCGCGGCCCACCAGCCCGCCCTCCCCCGCCCCGCACACCAGGCTCCAGGCTGTGGATTTGAGGGGGCGGCCTTCTGATACGGACTCCCTGACCCTGGGTGAGAGAACGGGCGGGAGTGCCAAAATGGCACGTGGGCGTCCAAGACGCCCCCAGGGCGCTGGGAAGTCGCCGGTGCAGTTCATGAGGCGTCCAAGACAACGCAAGCGACCACAAGAAGTAAAAACAATCCTCCCCAAAACGCCGCAACAGAGTCCTCAGACACGAAGCATCGCTGAAAACCTAGCTGGACTTGATTTTCGGCGTGTCTCATTTCGAAGGCGTGTCAGCCCAATACAGCATGTCGGGCGCTTCAGAAGGCCTCAAGCCGATCCAAGAGAGACCAAGCGTGCCCAAGAGGGTTCCAAAAGCGCGTGAAGGGGGGCACAAGACGGTCGGGAGGACCTGATGAGGCGCCCCAGAAGGCACCGAGATGGTCCCCACGACGTACCCCCGCGAGCGCCAGGACAGCTCAAGAGTCAGAGTGCAGTGGCTGTGGCCCCAAAACGCCACATAACGACCCAGGAGGGCCACAGGAGCCCCCTGATAGCCCAAGGAGGACACAGGAGGGCCCCAGCACATCCCAACACGCCCAAGGGGTCTGGCATATCCATACCCACCACCTATGGAGGTCCGCGAAAGTCGATCCTCCAGGCGGCGGTTATGTACAAGCCCCCGCCTTGGAAGAACAATCGTGCGTCGCGCATCGCGCGGCGCGACCCTCCGAGGCAGGTAACTTGGCACGGTCCATTTCGATCCGATCCGTCCGATTCGACGGCTGCGGCGTAAGCATCTAAAATCACCGACCAGCAAGGCGCTGACACTATCGTACTCGTCGGTGCGCGCTCCAGTCGCCGCCACGATGTCCGTCAGCGCCTCCATCACGCGCTCGGCCTGGAAGACCTGGACGTCCAGGTTGACAGGGTTCGCATGGACCGCGGGATCCAAGTGCGTGGTGCTCACCACGAGCGCGTGCCGTCGCGCATGGGTGGGAACGAGGGTGACGAATAAGGCCGTGCGGAAGGGCCTGTCGATGTACCTCCGGAACTGGTCCTCCGAGAGGGTGAGCTTCGAGCTGCTGAACCTCCAAGGGAAAGAGAACTATGCACATGTACCGACTCCGGCCAGGCCCATCCTGAGCCCATGATCGGTGCGTACGCTCTCCTGCCGTGGCCAGGAAGGCATATGCACCGATCCCGGGCCCAGGATGGGCCTAGCCAAGATCAGTGCATGTGCATAGTTCCCTTCGCCCGAAAGGAACCTCGGACTCCAAGACATGTCGCCGAGATCGCTGGCGGCGCGCCCAAGGGGGTCAGGCGAGGGGGGCGGCTGCCTACGAAAGCGGAAGGGCTTCTGAAAGGAAGGCCCTCCCTCGCGCGAACCGCTTGTGCGCGCCGCCGACATCGGCATGCACGGCAGTGACTGAGCGGAACGTGGACAGCCGCCAAAACAGCGAGATGCCGACGGGAGCGCCGGCGAAGTACCCGTCGAAGCCGATCGACTTCGCCCAGGGCTTCACCTCGTTCCTGAAGACGCTGACCTCCAGCTCCTGCAGCGCAAAAATGTCCGGGTCGAGCCGCGCCACCTGGGCCAGGAGGAGGGGCCGGCGAGCGCGCCAGGAATATGCGGCCTTCGCACCTGCGGGCACCCCGGCCCAAACAATGTAGTCCTGCGCCAGCACGTTCCAGGACAGCACCCGGAACTGAAGATCACCCTCGAGGGCCACGGAGCCCGTCTCCACGAACCTGCGCGACAGGTTGTACCCCGAACAGCGCTGCAGCCCCAACGCCACCGGCACCTGGGGGGACCAAGAACACGGTGCCGCTGCCCCCCAGGCATTTCCCGGGCTGCGCTGTGACCAGAACTCCGGCGCAAATCCAGCCGTGGAAGAGCCGAGCACGGGAGAAAGGAGAGGGAGAGCAGCGACATCGGTATACAGTCGGGCTGCTGAAATAAAGAATGCCAGGATCGTTGGGTTCAAACTCTGTCCGTGCTTCAGACTCCGCCCTGTGGGTGGATCGCCCCCCCACTCGTCGCCGTCATCCGTCGCCTACTGGGGTCAGCTTGGAGCCATCGCGGGGTCGCATCGGGATCGCGGGGTCAACTTGGGGTGCCTGGACAGGGCTGTGCATCCGCATTTGCGTAAGACATCCTCGCAATTGAGTGCCTTTGTTTCATGTCAGCTATGTTTGCGGGGCTCGCCTCGTCTTCTTCACGCTCGGGCGCGCGTGTGAACATCACGGTTCAAGTCCCCTCATCCTCCCCTTTCCCCGTCCTCCCTCCTCCATGTCATCCTCGTCCTGCCTCTTGCTCCTCTTCCGTGGGGGCTGCGAATTGCGAACCTGTCGCCACTATCGTAGGCCCTATGGAGGTCCAGCGTAGTGGTATCCCACGACGATCATAATGATACCTCGCCGTCCCTGGGAGCTGCGAACTGCGCTGCTGTCGCCACTTTCGTTAGGCCCCTGGGCGGTCCTGCGGTATGGGGTGCTCGAGAACGTCCTGGAGGGCTCTAAGAGGTTGGAGCCATAGATTTTGGAATAGGGTTCCAAACACATTCAGCCCCAGGTTTTGGAATGCCGTTCCAAAAGCATTCACCCCTAGATTTTCGAATACCGTTTCAAACACAATCAGACCCAAATTTTGGCTGCCTACGCTATCCGTTCACTTCTACCCACCGCCGTCGTCGTCGGCAGGTTCAGTCGGGAACCAGAGAGGGCAACTTTGTTAACGCGTTGCAGTGTTCATTTTCGCCGTCGTCGTCGTCGTCGTCGGCAGGTTGAGTCCAGAACCAAGGGAGAACTTTGTTAACGTGTGGTGGTCTTCATTTTCGGGTCGTCGTCGTCGTCGTCGGCAGGCTGTCTGGAATCAGGGGGGAACTTTCTTAACGTGTTGTGGTCGTCCTTTTCGCCGTCGTCGTCGGCAATTCAGTCCGGAACCAGGGAGACAACTTCGTTAACGTGTTGTGGTCTTCATTTTCGCCGCCGTCGTCGTCGTCGTTTAACGCATTGTGGTGCATATGTTCGCCGTCGTCGACGTCGTCGACGGCTGGTTGAGTCCGGAACCAGAGGGGGCAATGCTGTTAACGTGGTGGTTTTTCATGATCGCCGTCATCGGCGTCCTCGGCAGGTTTACTATGGAACCAGATGTTAAAGCATTGTGATCTTCATTTTCGCCGTCGTCGTCGTCGGCAGGTTCAGTCCGGAACCAGAGGGGGGGGCAACTTTGTTAACGTGTTATGGTCTTCATGCTCGCTGTCGTCGTCGTCATCGGCAGGTTTAGTTCGGAACCAGCAGGGAGCAACATTGTCAATGTGTTGTGGTCTTCACCCTTCTCGTCGCCGTCGCCGTCGTCGTCGTCTTCCGTATCCTTTCCTCCAGAACGCGACAGTTGCGAGGATTCTCAGTCTCCAGGTTATCTCCTTCGTCTCCTTCTCCTCCCGCATGTGGATCGGCTCCAGAACGCGACAGTTGCGAGGATTCTCGGTTTCCGGGTTATCTCCTTCTTCTCCTTCTCCTCCCGCCTGTAGATCGGCTCCAGAACGCGACAGTTGCGAGGAGTTTGACTCTATGGGTAGACGGCGCCAGGAGGCCCCAGGAGGCTTCAGGAGGGCCCACGTGGTCCCACGATGTCTTCAGCAGGGCTCCAGGAGGCGCTAGGAGGCCCCAGGAGGCGTCGGGAGGCAAGAGGAGGTTCGAGGAGCGCAGCGCGCGCGGGATTGATAAATCCTCTGGTCCTCTGGTGCGCTGTCCATGTGTAAACAATATTACCAAGAATCTTCACGAGATGTAAAGCAATCAGCCCCATATTTTGGAATGCCGTGCCACATGTATCGAGTCCCATATTTGGGAAGACCGTTCCAAAAAACGGTCAGCCCTAGATCTTGGAATGTCGTTCAAAAAGCAGTCAGCATTAGAGTTTGGAATGCTGTCCCAAAAGCATTCAGCCCCAGATGTTCATAGATTTTGGAATGCCGTTGCAAAAGCATCGAACCCTATATTTGGAAATACCGTCCCCAAAACGGTCATCCCTAGATTTTGGAATGCCATTCCAAAAAAACATTCAGCCCTTGCTTGTGAAATATCGTTCCAAAAGCGCTGAGCTCTAGATATTGGAGTACCATTCCATAACTTCACATTGAGCCCCAGAGTTGTGAATGCCGTTCCAGAAGCATTGAGCCCTAGATTTTGAAATGCTCTCCTATCAGGCCTCCGCTATCGCCCTCAAATAACCAAAGAGGTCCAACTGATTGTTTTATGATGATGTTGGTTTTCTGTGCTCCTGCTGTAATTGCTGCTGTTGCTGTTGCTGCTGCCTGTGCCGCTGCCCTTGCTATGGGTCTTGCTTCAGTTGGCGCTGTCGCTGTCGCTGCTGGCGGCAAGTTTTGCCCCCGCCCCGGAGCCTGACCCCCAGAGGCCCCCGAGGTTCCTGGAGTTCCCCATGGACCAGGGGCTCCCAGAGGCACCAGACGCCAAAAAAACTATCGAAAACGCCCAAACCCGAAACTTCCGAAAACCTCCCCCCCCTCGATCCTCGAGGGCTGGGGACACAACTTACCAGCTGGTGCTGCCTCCGCGCACCGCCCTTTCCGTTTACAAAACATGTGCCTCCAAGACACAGCCCCCCCGACAGCACGGGCGCGGTCGCTCTCACGTAAGGCAAATCGGCGGGAACGGATGACGACGTCGATTACGCTTCCCGGTCAGGAACGGGGCGTTGCCCTGGAGGTTGCTGTCTCGCCCTTCGCCTTCGACCCGCAGACAGTCAAATAGCAGCTCACTTCGCATGTAGACCACGTGCTGATCCCGTCGGCCCACTCCCCGGGGCCGGCTTTCCATCCTGGGTCGCCATTCGATGCCCCCTGGGCCCCGCGAGGGCCCCCAGAGGCCGAAACCCGACAGAAAGCCTCCCCCCGCTGCATTCTCTTCACGACACGAGGGTCGTCTGGGGTGCCCGCCGAGATGGAAGCCTGTCATTGATGCCGCGTGCCGGTCGGTCTATCGATAGCGAGTTCGATAGTAAGATCGATAGTGGCATCAATAGTGAGATCGATAGTGAAATCGACAGGAAGGCTGATAGGAAGGTCGATAGCGAGATCGATCGATAGTGAGATCGATTGTAAGGTCGATAAGGAGATCGATTGTGAGAGGGAAAATGAAATCGGCATTGAGATCGATAGAGTGGGATAAATAAAATTGTTTCGATGGTGAGACCGATAATGATATTGCAATCGATTGCGAGATCGATAATGAAAGAGAAAGAGAAGGCAAGAGAGAAAGCGAATTCGACAGCCGTCTGTCGTGCGCCTCACGGGACTAGCGCGCGGCAGGCCTAACCCCTTCGACCTAGCCAAGGCAAATTCGCCCGATGCGCTCCCGGCGCGCGACCAATAGAGGGTACACCACGCGGAATAGGTACGGGAGGGCTAGTAGGTAAGAGGAGCTCTTCTGGGCCTCAGCTAACGAGGGGACGATGAGAACAAGGGAAGAGAAAAGGTGGGGGTAGATGGGGGTGGACGAAAGCAAGGACATGGGAGGAGGAGGAGGAGAAGGAGAAGGAGGAAGAGGAGGATGAGGAGGAGGAGGAGGAGAGGGGGTAGAGGAGGAGCAGGAGGAGGAGGGGTTCAGCGCGAGACGCGCGGGGTCTTCTCGCCCCCCCTGGAAGCGCGGGGTTCAGCGCGAGACGCGCGTGGTCTTTTCGCCCCCCCCCCTGGAAGCGCGGGGTTCAGCGCGCGACGCGCGGGGTCTTGTCGCACACCCCCTGGAAACGCGGGGTTCAGCGCGAGTCTCGCGGGGTCTTGTCGCACCCCCCCCCCGGGAAGCGCGGGGTTTAGCGCGAGACACGCGGGGTCTTGTCGCACCCCCCCCTGGAAGCGCGGGTTTCAGCGCGAGACGCGCGGGCGCAACCCCCTGCCCGAAGGTCTGGGCAAAGGGGGGCCGCGACCCTTAGAGCGCCGCCCGAGGCCAGATTCAGAACTCAAGTTCCTGTTGCACTTGAATCCCCTCCATGCTCCGTGCCCTAGGGTCTCGATGGGAGGCCCACGACCCATGGAGCGTCCAATATCGCAGATGATGGCCCCGGGGGGGGCCCATATACTCGAGGATGGTCCCCCAAGATCGCACACAAAGGCTCGACTTGCATTGGATACGGCCTCCAGCATGCCTCCAAGAGGCCCCATGAGAGGCGCCGAATCGGCCCAAAGTGGATACAGAGTTTCCCAGGATTGCCCCCGAGAGAGGCCCCAAGCGTCCACAAATCCAACGTGAGGTTTCAACATTATGCTTGTCTTCTCGCCACGTCGCGTCCGACAGCCTTCCAAGGCCAAAGGAGAGCCGCAAAAGTGGCCCCACGGGGTGTCATTTCTCACATTCTCCAGCTCCGCTGCTCCTCCGTGCTCCTTGTCCACGCCCTCCTTCCTCGTCCCGACGACGACGACGACGGAAGACGGACGACGGACGACGGACGACGGACGACGACGACGACGACGACGACGACGACGACGACGACGACGACGACGACGACGACGACACGACGACAACACGACAACGACATGACGACGACAACGACGACGACGACGACGACGATGCAATGCGGATGCGCCATGGGCGGGGGGGGGCTGCGTGAGCACGCCGCCGTGCCGTAGCAACGACACGCGACGACGACAACGACGACAACGACGACGACGACGACGACGACGACCACGACGACAACGCCGACGAACGACGCGCTGCGGATGCACCACGGGGGAGGGGGGTGCTGCGTGGGCCCGCAATAAACAACGACATGCGACGGCGACGA